CATTCACCTACCTTATGCAGAGCCATAGTTCCCCATTGGTAATTACTAGATTCTTGGAATTTCAATGCAACTAAAAATGCACGACCTAACAATTGACCTAGCCAACTGATTGTGGGCCAGTTAATTAACAATTGATATGGCGAAATAGCCGACTCGCACGTGTGGAGCGTATTAGCTTTACGTTTAAACGTAACGATTGAATTCGATTTGTATTGGGTGTGGGAGCTAAGCAAATCTTATCAGCCGCAAGCAAGTGGGCAATCGTCTTGGCCGTCTCTGCTCGCAGCTTTCAGTCAATGTCTGCACACAGGCAGCTCAACATGTCCGCCTGGGCCGTCTCCAATACGAGCCTCAATGACGCCACAACGAGCGCGACTGGCGCCACAGGATCCAGGCACCGGCGGCTGATACGTCTGGCCTGGCAGACGCTGGCTGCCAAATGCCAGCAGCTCACTGAGTTCTTGAGACGGGAGACGAATAAACCACTGCCGAAAGAATTGCGTCGATCGCTGCGTCTGAATAAATCGGCCAAGCGGAAAGGCTATCAGCACTATGAGACTGAAGCAGATAAACAGTAAGTGGAACTCACGCAGATAAGCCTGCTATTATTGTTTACCTCGCCCGTATACTTATTATAGATATCTAATATATTTGTTTATTTATTAGACGCATCAAGGATTATTTAAATCAGCCCATTAATCTGTCTGTTCGCTTGGGACCCGCCTACGACTATAGACCTTCCAACTCCTAGCCAAAGCAGAAGCATAGCTCTAAGATGTAGAGAAATTAGTTAATACTAATTAATTAGTATGAGCTTTAAGCTTATATTTTGTTTTCAAACTAGTGTTGTATTTATAAAGCTTTAATAAGAAACTTGAACTGCATTCAGTACATTTACTTTTAAAACTGCTAAGCTTTTATGGTAAGCTTTTATGGCTAAACTTTTGTGCTTTAACTTTTATGGCACTTGACCAGTGTTGCCAGTTTAGCCTATTTCAGGCTAGATCTAGCCATTGGAAATGAGTATAGAATGGAAGAGCCAGAAATTGTAGCAGACTATGCCGAAGTCCTAGTTCTTAAGAGAACTATAGAATATACATTCTTGAACGACGAGGAAGAACTAGAGAAGATCATTTAAGTTGTCTATATGTATGCAGCAGTATTCCTTTGGTATACGTTTAAGTAAGACGAAGCTGCAATGCAGAGCAACAGAGAGTGTTCTCATTGGTCACTTGGGACTCGACAGCAACGACGCCTACCTGACATCGAGCACAACATTTGAGCGCAACTTAAGTCTTGAGTAAATGTCGCCCTATATAAAGGGCTACAGCTACAGAATTCTTTCAGTCGCCCAGGCCTGTTGGGGGTCTTCGTGCAGTGCCAGTGAAGTGCTTTATCGTTAAGCAAAGTATTAAAGTATTGAAGAAATATTTGTAGGAAACGCTTGGAAGAAATATTTAGAGGAACTACTTATAAAAAAAAGCTTAGAGGAAAGATTTGGAGGAAGACACTTAGAAAATACACTTATTAGAAAATACACTTATTAGAAAATATACTTATTAGAAAATATTTGGAGGGAATACTTAGAAGATACACTAAAAAAAAATACTTAGAGGAAACACAGAGATTTCCTCTGTGTATTTACTTTAGAGAAATACTTATTTACTTAGAGAAATACTACAAATTAATATGTTTGATTTTGTATTTTATTATAATGAGCAAAAAAGTTGACTGCAAATAATTAATGAAATATATTTGCTACTCTTCGTATGCCTACTTCGATTTACAGTTAATGTTATTTCGGAGCTCAACAGTTGGCAGAACTGCACACTCAGCTTTAAGCTTTTATGGCAACAAAGCTTTCATGTTTTAGCTTGTGCAACGCTTAGCTAAACATGGAAGCACACTATAAACTTACCACGCGTTTGTAGCTCTTGAAAGCTCTTGCATTTTGCCGGCTGTGCTCTTAGCTTCGCTCATCAAATGTTTGCTACGTTTGCTCTTAACCAGTCAGCGTTGGGCTCTCTTAAACGCGCCCACACAAAAGTTTATTGCCCCGCTCCGAGCAAGTGAACGTGTCTGTGCACGCTACACCAGCAAGGCATATTGATTTGTTGTCAGCCACCAGACAGGTGTTAGACAAAAGACTAAAACTGTTGCGTATATAGATATAAATCTTAAAATATATTAAATTTTAATATTACTAATTTATTAACTTTAAAATTGAATCAAAGCAACTATCGAACTATTTGTTATATTTTAATATAATCTAAGCAAATAACAAATAAATTCTAAGTAATTAAAAATTATAATAATTAA